ACGCCCCCCCCCCACTTCACTTCCAGGAGCTTTGTGCCAAAATGTCACACCCCCCCCAAAGTCAAAAAAATGCTCTTGCAATGATGATTGGGCTGGCAGGATCAAGCGGACGAATTCATCCGTTGTCACGACTGGCCCGTTTTCCGGGTCAGGTGCCGCAAAGCCAGCTGCCAGATTCATCTGCTTCGTGGTCATCTGAATGGCACGGCCTTTTCCACATGCAGCAGCGTTTTGGGGGGGGTTTTCTCTTCTTGAACCCCACTTTACAAAGTCCAAATATTCGGGATCGAAAGCAAGCCTGTTGATTTCGTTGCGTTTATTTCTGAAACTGGGCCCAGCGTCTGTAAGCTGCATGGGGGGGTTCGGCGCGACACTGGCCGGGCCGTCGGGTTCCCGTCTATAATCGTACGCTGCGTTTGGGTTCGTGGCCGAGCGGTTGTCAAGCTGTCAATCGCATTCAGGCGCGGCAGCACATTCTCGGTCGAGGTGCGTCAGGGCGTCGCCTCGCGCGTGGAGACGCAACATGTCGACCTCCAGGGGGTGGAGCCTGCCGGCGATGACCAGCGAATGGAGCGGGGCGCCCAGGTCACACGAGCTCATTTGCGCCAAGGTGGCCGTGCGCATCTCCTGGTCGCTGGCGCCCAGTCTGGCCACGCCCACGCACAGCGTGTCCTCCGTCAAACCTGCGCACGAGATGTGTGCGATTGACTGGTCACACTTGGGGGGGCGGGGGGGGGGGGGCTGACAGTCACTCACCGGGGTCGTCGCCCCGCTCGCGCCTCCGCCTGACGATTTCCAGCAGCTGAGTGGCCGCCTGCGACACGCTCATGAAGCGTGGAGGTTCATAGATCTTCTTCCCTCTGAAACGACAGCGCCCGCCCGACGTCGATCACACACGGATCGAACCGGTGGGGACGGCGCCCGCCTTACCTCATCAGGTTCTCCAAAGACTGTTCTTTCACTTTCAGGTCTACAAAAAAAAAAAAAAAAAAATGGGTCAGGTTCTGCATGCTAATGTGCTAATGCTAACCCCTCCGTTCTAAAACGTGCATCCCAAGGCCGCACGAGCGTCACGGATTAAACGCAACGCCGTCCCCGGGGGTGGTCACGAACGGCGGACGTGTGATGCGGAGGGGGCGGGGCATAGCGAGCTTACCCAGCAAACACAGCGTGTGCAGGCCGGCCGCTTTATTCTGCAGGATTTTGTCATAGAAGCTTTCGGGTCTCCACGACTCGGTCCAGAACACCACAGACACCGTCTCGCCAAAGTTGTACAGCTGATGAGCACAGGAGATGATGATTTCCAAGTGACGCGCGGCCGACCGTGGCTATTTGGCCCACCGTCGACACGCTTGCAAACAACTTTCGACGGATGACAAACGAGCACGGGCCGTTTGCTCAATGGCGGATTTCGAAGCCGAGCGGTCAGGTGACGCACCTGCAGGCCGCAGCAGCCCACGGCGTTCATAATGGAGGCGTTGTGGACCACCTGGTACGGGATCCCGGCACGCACCGCCCTGAGGAGGAGGTCGCTGTGAGTGGTCGCTCTGCCAAGCGCAAAAAAGCACACGTGAGAAGGCAGATGGCGTTGGGGCGGCGGGCGGACGGCCGCGCTCCCCTACCCGAAGGGGTCGCCCACCACCAGGAAGGCCACGTCCGTCTCCTTGGCGTCCTTCAAGATCTCGTCGGCTTCCTGCTCCACCAGATCTCGCTCGGCCAGCGTCAGCTCCTTCCCGTAAAACTCCTCCTGACGTCACAAACAAAAGGTGCCTCGGGCCCGTTAGCGTGCTAACACCGCCAAACGGGCCGTTTCCATCGGGGACGGGACATCGGACAAGCTCACGTGACACTCAAGCAAGTCAAGCGGCTGATGTGACAAATAGGACTGCAAATAACCATTTAAAAAAAACAATTTCTACCCCTTTACTCCAAAGCACGACAAAGTAAGAGTGGCGAACAAACGTGACCAGAACTTCAGTTGGTGGTTTAGTCTGGAACATCTCTCATAAAAGAGGCCAAAAGGTGGAGAATTTTTTTGTTTGTTTTTGCAATGTCAAAAGCGAAGTTTGCGAGTGTGCAATTTTGAGGGCTAATCTGTCTGCTCGCAAAGAGGATGACGACAACGCAGGCATACTGAAGTTCAACAAGGTCTGCAGCCGAGATGACCGATCGGCGACCCGAATGGTTCTCGCTTGATTCCACGTCAATTCGGCTTGGTGGGAAAGACCCGCGGGGGCTCCACGAGCAGCTGATCGGCGACAGGAGTACAACCGGCCCTCGGTTTCCTGTCGTCAACGCTCCTTTGCATCTCAAAGTTCGAAGCTTTGCCGCTCTCGTCGAGTCCGTCCGCCTGCCTGCCTGCCTGCCTGCCTGCCTGCCTGTCTTTCGTTCATCGGACACCGTTCCGGCTTGAGTGGCCGCGGCGAGAATGAGGAGCGACTCACCAGAGCCTCCTTGCCCACAGTCAACATGGACGTGTAGGCCTCCAGGTAGACGCGCGAGCATTTCCTCACCACCTGCAAACCTTTCACGGTGATGTCAGCGGCGTCTCCGAGACCCAGACCGACCAGGTACAGCATCTCGCCCGAGAGCACCGCACCAGGACTTGGCCTGATCCCTTTTTCTGCCTCTTTTCTCCTCCTTCTTCTTTCTTGCTCGTTCACGTGTTACCAAATACTTCCTGCTTGATTTGCGTTTGCCGTCAATCGTTTAGCTTTCACGTCACTTTGGCTTCCTTTACGACCGGTGGCCGACCCCTCCCCTTGAAGACGTTTTGCCCTACGTCACAGACGTCCGGGGCTGACGTACCGGCAGGCGGAAGCCAACCGACGTGCCTTCGTGGCGGCCATGTCGGGAGGGGCGACGTTCCCGCAACGGTAATTACATCACATTGGATGGAAGTCGTAACTTGCTCAATTCTCAGCCGATATTGACCAGGTTTGCTTTTTTTTTTTTTTTTTTGTCAACGCCAAAATGTGTTTTGTCAATTGAGATCATTTAAAAACCGAGCCCCCTTTTTTGAACTTGTGAAGTCTTATTCCCAATTTCTTCGCTCGTAATTGTATGACGTTGCGTGCAACCGTACGCGGCACAAAGTGGGGGCATCAGCGTCGCAATTTCAGGAAACGACGTGAAGTCCCCCACATACCCACCGCACCCACTCATTCACACAGTCAGATTTTTTTGTTAGTTTTCTTTGCTGTGCTTTTGTCAACCCCCATCACCCTTACACACAGTTCTTCCTCTGTTTTGCAAAAAAAAAAAAAAAGACGTTCCTAAGTGGGGTTTTTAGAGGATCTGGGGTGTTGAATGTCATTTTTTTTCCCTCTGCAGTGCATTTCAACGAGCATCAATTCTGTGCTGATTGTTGCCATCGGCGGGCCTGCCCGATCCCAATCGGCCGGCCGGCCATCCGACATGAAAGCGATGGCTGATGACCAAAGCCGCAAGAGGAGCATCAAGCTGAAGCTCCAACATGACACCGAGCCCTCCCCCCCTCCCCCGTCTGTCTTTCTCTCATGCTTTCTTTCTGGCGGCTTCTCTGCCTCTTGCGCTTTGTCTCCCCCTCGTTCTCACACTCTCTCGGTCAAGCTTTTTCTTCCTCTGTCTGTTTCTCTCTCTTCCTTTCTCATTCCCTTTTTTTTCTGGCGAGGTTTCTCGGTCAGTCGTTGGCTCTCTGCCTCTTTTCATAGTCTCCTTTTTAGTCCTTTCGTTTCCTCGACCGCAGTGGACCTCGCGCACTTCCAGTTCGGCACCCATGCATTCCACCGTATGCGGCTTTTGTCTCTGGAGGGTTTTTTTTTTCAGCTTTTTGTTTGTTTGTTTTGGAGGGTGCGGGGGGGTTTCTGGGCCCCTCCGTCGTTCGGTTGCCCAATCTTATGATCTTCCGTCCTCGTTGTGGCAGGAGGCCGCTCCGCACCGAGCGTCGGGTCCGCTCAAGACTCGGCTCGGTCTTTGGATGATCGCCGAGCGCGCGTCCGATCCGGAAGCCCATAGCGGCCCGAGACGTCGTCGCGTCGCGTCATTCCGCCTGTCAAAGGGGAATCCAATCGGGTTGAATTCATGTTAGCGTCGCCATGAGAAGGCAAAGAGACGGGATGGCGAGCGGGGCGTTTGGGCCAAAAGGGCAAGACGATGGCTCGGGTTGAAAAACTCGTTGGCACCTTTCTCATCCGTTTGGACAGATGTGCTGGGAAAGCCCCCCCACACCCCCTCCAACCCAAGGATGGAGCTCAAAGATTGCAAATGGCTCCGGCGCTTGGGGCTTTTCCCACCTTGCCAACGCCGCGACGCAATCAAGAATGTCGTGGAGTCGGACTATTGCCGGCTGGCGTTCCTTGTCAACGTCCTCGTGCGCCTTTGCTTTCATTGGGCCTCGTTTTGCGCCACTGCAAATGAGACTGCCGTGTGTTTTTTTCAACCTGAGCTGGTGAAACAAAGCGTCGGGAAATGAAGGTCGGCGTTGATAAGTCAAGCAAAGCACGTCGTAGACGACTCCGCGCTTTGGTTTGGGCGGCCGTCTTCGACACGGAAGCTTGACGGCAATGCAACTATCTGGGGCCCGTCGCGTGCGTCCGGCCGCGTCACTTTGGCCTTTGGCCTTGGAAACGGCCGTCAATGTCGTCCCTTCACTTGGTTTGGACACTTTTTGCCTGACCAACCGCGCGACCAAACTTCTTTCCGAGCAACTTGCGATGGTTCAGTCACCCCGCCGATGCCTCTTTGGGGCACCGCGGTGACAAAGGGGGTCCGTGAAGGGGGCCCTCCGAGGCGCCGTGCATTTTAATGAGCGCGCTTGAATGCAAAGAGGACCCTCGGGAGGCTCTCCCGCCCCGCTTTGCCCCTCCCGCTCGGAGGCGCTCCGGACGTTCGGCCTCTCGCGCGGGAGAGCGACACAATAAAGGATGAGGCAAAAGTTGCCAGCACGCGGCTGCGACGTGCCTCAAATCAACCTTGTCGGGAGTCACGTGACGGACCCGCGACGGGGCCGCGGCCCCCGAACTCTCAACGTGTCGCTCAAGGTGGCCTCATTTCGAAGATGACAGCATCACGGGGTACGGCATGACTCCGCCCACACGCGCACGCACACCAAGCTGAACTATTCTGTGTGCGTTTTTGGTGGAATGCGAAAGCGAGCGAAGCGGAACGGGAGCCGTAGCGGGGCCACGGACCACGACCGGCACTCACGAGTTCCTAATTGCCGTCAGGGAACCGGCGTCTTTCTGCTGTACTTCAGCACCGGTTTCCACGGCGACGCTCAGCTATGCGGCCTCAGAAAGGGCCCTTTTGTCCGCCACAATGGGGCCCCCTCCCGAACCCCCGCGCTCGTTCCCTCTGTCGGGAGCAAACCGAGCGTGCGGCTTTGGTCACGTGTCCGAGAGCTCGCCTAGCAAGAGCGCCGCTGTCAGGCAAAGGTCAAACTCCCATTTGACTTTTGCTCCGGACGATGAAAAGCACGCGCGGAGGGAAAGATTCACGTCGTATCAAGATGCGATTTGTTACATTTGCAACACGCCCGCATGACTTGACGCTTCCTTCAGTCAGAAATTTGAGCCGCGTGGCAAAGATTGAATTGAGTCCAAGGATATTGAACGTCAAGAAGTGCGAAGGGGACTGAAGATTGACGTCATTGAGGCGACCTCCTCCTCCTCCCGCTCCTCCGCCTCCGCCGGTTGGCGCGAGCGCGCTCGTGTGCGCGCGTACGCGGAGCGGCGAGGCTGCTGCGCCTTTTCTCCCTGCGAGCGCCAAGCGAAAGGTAAAAAAAAAAACAAGCTTCCGTCTTTTCGCGCACTTTGCGAGCTTGCTCGGCGTGAGGTCACCGGGCTCAACTTTGTTGCTTTTTGCACCGAGCGGTGCGTTTGGGTTTGAAAGACAATTAAAGAGCGGGAACGCGGGTCTCTCGCGAGCGCTAATCGCCTCCCCGCCGAATGGCTCCGACTTGGACTTTTTGTGCACGCCGGCGAAACTCGGGTCTGTTTGCCACTCGGTAATTTGCCGGAGGTGAAATTTCCTTGAAAGTCTCGGGCCCTTTTTCTCGCCCCCCCCCCGCCCCCGCGCCGCTCAGGGTGCGCCGGCAGCACGTGATGACGAGGTGAAGGCAAGCCGGCGGCGTCGCTCGGCGGGCGGTCATGGCCGACCCCGAGCGCTCGGACCTGATCGCCAGGCACTACAACTACACGGGCAAGCTGCGTCGGCGGGACGACGGCGCCTCGGCCCTGAAGGCCGACTCGGCCGTCTTCCTGGGCGTGTGCTGCCTGATCGTGCTGGAGAACCTGCTGGTGCTGGCCACCATCTGGAGGACCAAGAAGTTCCACAGGCCGATGTTCTACTTCCTGGGCAACCTGGCGCTGTCGGACCTCCTGGCGGGCGCGGCCTACGCCGCCAACATCCTGCTGTCGGGCGCCAACACCTACAGGCTGACGCCCACCCAGTGGTTCCTGCGCGAGGGCTCCGTCTTCGTGGCGCTGGCGGCGTCCGTCTTCAGCCTGCTGGCCATCGCCGTGGAGCGCCACCTCACCATGCTGAAGATGAAGGTGGGCGACGGCGGGCGCGCCGGCCGCGTCTTCCCGCTCCTCAGCGCCGTGTGGATGGTGGCGGCCCTGCTGGGCGGCCTGCCGCTGATGGGCTGGAACTGCATCGGCCGGCTGGAGCGCTGCTCCACCGTGCTGCCGCTCTACCACAAGACCTACATCCTCTTCTGCACCAGCGTCTTCAGCGTCATCCTGATGGCCATCGTGGCGCTCTACGCCCGCATCTACGCCCTGGTGCGCGGCCGCAGCCGCCGGCTGCTCTCGCGCGGGCCGCCCGCCGGCGCCGGCGCCGCCAAGAGCTGCGAGCGCTCCATGGCGCTGCTGCGGACGGTGGTGGTGGTGCTGAGCTGCTTCATCGCCTGCTGGGCGCCGCTCTTCGTGCTGCTGCTGCTGGACGCCGGCTGCCGGGCGCACGGCTGCGCCGTCCTCTACCGGGCCGAGTGGTTCCTGGCGCTGGCCGTCCTCAACTCGGCCACCAACCCGCTCATCTACACGCTGACCAGCGACGAGATGCGCCGCGCCTTCCTCCAGATGCTGCTGT